TGTAACAATTACCATTGTTTGTAAAGGAATGGGGTTTTTCATCCAGCTCCATTTTTGTCCCTCGCACTCATGGGCATGTCAGTCATATCTCTTATAAGTATGTTAGTATGTACGGACATACAATATATGAAAGGTCATGATTTCATTCTAACATACGCGGGTATGTTAGTACGAAATCATTGGTAAATCGTTATTATGTGTCGGTCAACTGTTGGCTGAATTTTTTGTAAGTGTGTCTTTTTGACTATACTATGTAAAAAAATTATGTCCATGTAAGTTTCAGTTGGGATTAATCATATGAATGTGATTAATTTCTGTCCTATTTCTAAGTTTGATAATTTGGAAAAAATTAAGTAAAGTAAATGGTCTATTGAGAGTATTCCGTTTTATTTTATCATATGGGACCTATCTTATTCTTCTGTAAAAGGTAAAGACAAGAGAGTCCGTAATGCCCACCTGGGGAATTTAATTTTTTTTCATAATTTTTACCAGTTTTTTTTTCTAAATTTATCTAATTGGTGTAAATTTAGTGACGTTTTTGTAGAATATTGATGTTTTGTAGTATCAGTCTACAGTGCGTCTAATATATAGTAGGGATAATTCCGACAGGAGTGAAGAAATATAAGAAATTTCTGAGCTTCCCAAACCGGAAAAAAACCTAACGAAATGAAATGATTAAAGAATCAAGCTCCAGAGATGTAGTTTGAACTCAGTGTAATTGATGGTTAATAGAATGTACGAATGATTGACTTTAATGATGAGGTATTATCTATTGCTTAGTCAGTATATCAAAAATTATTTTATATGTTAATTTTTCATTTGTATTTGTATATTATTCTTTATTAGGTTATCATTGATTAACAGAAATCTTGATTATATGCTTAAGGGACAAAGATTCCCCGAAAAGAAAAATTAATAAAGAAAGATCTAAAAAAAACTAAAATGATTATTTAACAAACTCTATAGGCGAAAATTCGGGAGAATATAATTAATAAAGAAAAATTTAAAAACTGGAAACTAGCGAATCCATTTTTAAAATCATTTTTGAGCGGATTAGAAGGAGACTTTATTTAATCTGTAGAATGAAGGATTGTCTAAGTCTTCAAATGGTTTGTGGATCATTTTAATGATTTATTATTTAAATTGGAACGGGATTTTAACATCCTCAGTATACAGTTATACTTTCTTGTTAGAAATGGTAGAGCTTTCCTGAAGATCTGTTAAACTGCGTCCGTCGTAATTAAGTCAAAGTTTGTTGAAAATTTTCGTTAATTTAAAAGATAAAATCAGATAAAAGTTTAATAGATTCATATTTGAAATAATAAATATAGAGCGTTTTTCATGACTAATAAAAAATATTGATACAAAAAGATAATATTTTGATACCTTAACTTAAGTAAAAATTATTAGAATCCGTCACTATCCAATTTTTTATTTATTTAACATTATGGTGACGAAAACTGTTACATTAGGCTAGAGGCACCATTCCTTCGTTGCATTTACAGTACTTTATAAACTTTGATTTTTTTTTTATTAACATATTACACGATTAGATCATTGAATTTAACAAGTTAATCTTCGTATACCTCTGGTATTTTATAGTGTAAAATAACTTTATTCGAGGATGTTAAAAGATTTGATTCTATAATATCAAATAAAAAAGTGAAATATATAAAAAATATATATTGAATTTTCAGACGTTAAATAAAATAAAATATATTTTATTACAACTAGACTTGAAGTTATTTAGCGAATTTGTTGTTTACATACAAAATGGTTATGATCACAAAAACAATTTTAGAAAAAACAAATGATATCGAATATAAGATAGGAGAAAAATTAATACAATAAATAAAATAGAAAATACTAAATACTATTTATAGTTTTTAAATTAAAGTCAATAATTTTAAAGCAACATAAGATAGACATTTTTTAAAATATGTATAGCTATAGAAGGGAGCCTGATAAATAATATTTATCAAGGGGGTGCTATCCGATGGAACTGTTATCAAATATATATTGAGGAAGAGCGTGAGATATTCCTGTCTGCCTGATTTAAAATTTATGGTCCCAGCTTCGCAGCTGAGAGCATCTTACCGAGAAATCCACTTATTTTAAGTTAAATAAAATTAGGTTTAAATCTACCTTTAAATCGATATCCTTGATTAATCGAAATCATTAATAAAATAATCCTCAATGCTCCTTACTTTGTCACTAATAAAATAATCCATAAAGACCTCAATGTTCCATATGTTTCCGATTTGGCCAAATCCAATTATATGATACCTATCATTCCATAATAAACTTCATAACCATCCGAATCCTCTTGTTTCTAACCTTGCTTCATCTTCGATTCCTGATAACCCTCCGAGGCGTCTGAAAAGAAGATGGCCTCGTGATCTTCTCATGTAGACAAATTATTAGAATGCTACCAGTGGGTAGTTTCTCAAAAAGCGTGTTTCATGTAATAATATTTCTCTGTACAAATTTACTAGATGTATTCATACTAATACAGTTGTAAATATCATAATAAAAGTTTAAAAAAAAAATAATAAATTATACCGAAATGGTAGCAAATGGTTTCTTGATTTATATATATATAAATGATATATAAATATATGATATTTACAACTGTATTAAAGAAATACATGTAGTAAATTTAAACATATAGATATGATGACGTGAAAGCACTTGCTGCGAAACTACCCAATGAAAGCAATCTAATGATATGTCTGCATTAGGAGATCACGGGGCCATCTTCTTTCCAGACGCCTCAGGGGGTTATCCGGAATTGAAGAAGAAGCAAGGTTAGAAACGAGAGGTTTGGAATTATTCTGAAGTTTATTATGGAAGGATAGGTATCTGGATTGGGCCAGATAAGAAACATACGGTACATTAAGGTCTTTATGGATGATTTTATTTGTGACAAAGTAAGGAGTATTGAGGATTTTATGAAGGATTTTGGATTGGTAGGATTGGATACGAGAGGAATTCGATGGTTTTGTGGAGCCCATAGCTCAACTCCGTAAGTCCAAATAGGCCTTATTATAGTCACGTATATGAATCTTTTGTAATTAATTGGAAGTTTAGAGCGTTTGTCTAGTAAGTGCTAAAGTAATCGGAAAAGTCGAGTGGTTTCCTATCGTTTCAGTCCGGTATGATGATCAATATAAAATTCTAAAATAAGTCGGCAAGTCACATACTTAAGTAAAGATACTGTTCAGTAAAATCCGAGTAAATAAAAAAAAATATTTTTTCTTACCTTTTTATACATGCTAGTATATATATTAGATAAATATATATTTTTATTTATAATATTTTTTTTTTGTCTTCAATTTTTCATCCGCACCTGTCATGGTAGTGACAATTAGCAGATTGGTGGTCATGTAGAAAATGGCATGATAGGCATGACGAAGAATGGAACCCAGCAGCACCTCTTCCCTGGTTTGTTTACATCCTAAAATCAGGAAAGGAGATCTCTCATCTAGCTCCTTTTCAGTCGCCTCCTGATGAGCATTTCAGCCGTGGCCATGTCGCTGATAAGTCCATTGTGATGTCCCTGTAGTTTAGAATGAAATCGGGAGTAGAGAATACGTATGTGCTGGTCAATGGTTGGTTGTCTTAGGTCGGTATGTAAAGTCTTGTTGTTGACGTACCAGGGAGCGCAAGTTATTAGTCTTAAAATTTTTGATTGAAAGGAATTTATAATATAAATATTTATTTTTAAAATAAAATGCGTTACTAGAGACAGAACATATGGATGGCTAAAATCATCAATAATGCATCCACTCTAATTAAATAAGTAAACAACTTCATCTCATCGTAACCTACAAATATTTTATTAAAAAAAAATTTGTAGGTTTGTGGCGTTTTTAATCTGCAAACTTTGTATATTTATATAGGTACTGAAAACTCCTAAATACCTATTTGCTTTCTACCTGAATCGTAAGATCATATGAGCCCAAAATCGAGGAAAAAAGGTGGCCTACAAAAATATTGGAACGTTTTCTCTATATAACCTCGTTATTTCAATCTGGGAGTGTAGGTCACGCCAAAAGGCTCAATATTTTTTAAGGTAACCTTTTTTATCGTTTTTTTATCACATTATCTTATATTCAGTTGGAAAGCGAATGGATATTTACGAGTTTTTAGTACCTAATTAAATAGACAAAATTTGCTCCCCTTCAGATTGAAAACACTCCAATTCCAAGAGTTTTCGTAAATAAAATATTTGCATGTTAAATGAAGTTAATTTCTAAGTTTCAGGCGGATGTTAATAATTCTATAAAAAGATTTCTGCTCCACAGACTATTATTAATCCTCAGTTCTGTAGAACCATGTTTAATTATGTTAGAAAGAGAGTTTGTATTATGATATATAATATTTTGACATATCATAATTAACTACTTTGTTTATTTCGCGGAAGAAGGATACCGGGAAGATTCTTTTCTTCCAGGAATAACAAATGTTTTAATGAATCCCTTATATTGAATTACTCAGAACAAAAAATATTATTTATAATTGCTAAAATGATTCACTTGAAATAAATTTAATCTTTTATACCAAATTAAAAATTACATCTATATGCGCAACAGTTGGTTGAGAGGTATAGAAACTGAGTTACACAAAACTAACTTGAAGAGATCTTTTTCTTCCAACTTGGTTAAAGATAGGATGATGTCCGTGTAAAAGGGGGAGGATCATCAACCAGAAAAATGTATTTTATTCCATTTACTTAAAACTTTGGTATTTTTACTAACGCTATAGTATATTACGAGAATTTTATTTTATTAAAACAAAAAAAAAAATATTTTTATACTCTTAAAATTTACAGGTTTGTAGATGATAATAATATGAGATATTGCAGTTTATCTCTTATTTGACAATCAAATAATTAATAAAAAATAAAACTTTTTCTGAAAAATAATTACACTGTTCATAATATTATACAAGTTTATTATGATGCATAATAAAGGGGATATAATTAAATGTGAACTCACAGGACTGGGCCCCATGCTGCCTCATTATGATCATCTCCTCTTGTGCTTCCAATAACCCTAAAATAAAAATAAAATAATAAAAATAATATTGTAGGTATGGATAATAGTATTAGTTAGTAGTGCAAGGCCACTTATGAAGTCCAAACGACATCAATAAAGTGAATTTCATTTTAAGTATGTAAAAATATATATTTTTTCAATATTATTTTTATTTATTTCGGTAGCGTATATTTTTCAGTTTATAATTAATTATATAAGCCAACATAGCACCGATGTTTGATGATATTAGTGGTAATAAAAACGAGTACATAATAAATATAATAAAGAACCGAATTTAATAACAAATTATTATAAAAATGAAAACACTCTAAAACAGAAAACTTCCATGAACGATATACATGACATTATGACGCAAAATGAAAAGTATCATGAAAATAAACAAGACCCTAAATAATATCTTAGCGTCATACATATTAGAAAATTAACTGTTAAAATTGAAAGAACGTTTATGCAATTTGATGTAAGTGAAATTAAATTTGCAAGTAAACCAATAACTGAAAAAGATAAAATTTATTCTAAAACTATAGATAAAGTCATTACTGATAAATTAATAAATATTATATATAAAATAACCTGTACAAATCGTAACAAGATTTTGGACAGACATCAAAGTGGTTTAAAAAAAACTTAATCAACATAAAAAAAAACTTTATAACAAAAATAACAACAACTAAATTAGTTTCTGGGCTTTCTCAGCATACTATGCAAACTAAACACAAATTTTATTTTAAAAACGCTAAAATCCTTCATAATGAAAATTATATTAATAAATATACAGTATAGGAAGCTATATATATATATATTACAAAAAAATTGCAAAAATCTGTAAATAATCATACGGACGTAGATAATTTGAATACATCTTAAGGGAGTTCAATTGAAAAAATAAACATTTAAACATATATATCTGATGTTTCATTATATTTTAAATGAATCTATTTTAAGCAATACTAGCAACGCATTTTAAATGTTTATTTTTTCAATTGAATTCCCTTAAAATGTATTCAAATCATCTACATCCGTATGATTTTTTACAGATTTTTTAAAAATATATATAGCTTCCTATATATATATATATATATATATATATATATATATATATATATATATTATATATATATATATATATATATATATATATATATATAAATATATATATCTTCTCCAGTCTTAATGAAACTGACAACATGTGGGCTGATACATAATATTGTTATTCAATATTATATAAATGTTTTATTAATAATAAATTTTACAATAATAGATAATATTTTAATAGAAAGTAGGTATTAGGAATATGACACTGGCTATTAAGAGGAGACGCATGTATTTTACTTAAGAAATGTATTGGACAAGTTCATGATAGGTAATTATAAAAAAAAAATATATTTCAAAATATGTAACTTTGTTTGAAAAACATATCAATGACTATACAAAAAAGTTCATAAAGGAAAATTATATATGACTGCGAATTGAATAATCGTTTTTAGACTTGAAAATGGCTCGACAAGCCGAAACGTCGTAGGATTCTGGAAGTGAAAACATCGGTGTAATGTTGGCATATATAAGAAATTTGAAACTGAAAATATATAATTTTTATTAACTCATTTTAGTTTTAAAAAAACAACATAAAACCACAAATAATAGGAAACAGCATACACCATAACAGTTTTTAGCAATATTTTTTATCTAATTTTGTTTGCTAATTATTAAGATAAAGAAACACATATAATACCACTAATCAATTTTCATTTATAAAAAAGTTGTACACTTTCTTGAACAATTTTAAAGTAATATCTTACTGGCCAGGATCACGCTCAGCCAGTAATTTTTCTAAAAAAAAAAGAACGGAATTAACTTTGCTTATACCGTACTTTATTTTGAGTATATTTTTGATATAGCATCCTAGCTCTGTACTGGGTAGTTGTTGGATAAATGTACCAATAGTTGTCAATCTTCAACTCATTAACATTTAATAAGCTGTGTAGGTCCAAAAGAGAGTGCAAATCCGATTAGATTTGAAGAATACTTCTTCAAGGAAGGTCATACCACAATATCCGATTGGTTAATTTTCTAAGTTGATTTTTCTCATACCTGACTGAAACGACAAGAAACCGCTCGACGTTTTCGGTTACTTAAGCACTTACTACACAAACGCTCTAAGCTTCCAATTAATTACAAAAGACTCATATAAATGACAATAATAATGGTTATTTGAACTTATGGAGTTGAGTTGTGGGGCTCCACTAAACCATCGAATTTCTCTCGGATCCAATCCTTACAATCAAAAATCCTTCGTAAAATCCTACCCTTTACTTTGTTACAAATAAAACCACCCATAATGACCTAAATATTTCTTAACCCTCCTAGGCGTCTGAAAAGAAGAAGGCCCCGTGATCTATGTAGACATATTATTAGTTACTATTGGGTATTCTCTCAACAAGTGTTTTCACGTCATTATATCCATATGTTCAAATATACTGAATGTGTTTCTTTTATACATACTTTTAATTTTCTTCTATTTTGTTATTCTCAAGGGACTGTGTCATAGAATAAAGTTATTTTTCTATTCTATTCTATTCTATACAGTTGTAAATATCATTAAGAAAGAAATAAATAAAAAAAAAAGTTGATTTTTCGATGCTGCAAGGCTGAGTTTCAGGGAGATTTCCTTATCGTTTTTCGTTAGTAGATAGGTTTGAATTTTTTATTTATTCATCTTTATTTAGCCTTTTCTTGTTCAGAAAATTTATTATTTTTTTTAAGTATGTAAACAAACATGTCGACCCCTAAACCTGAATGTCTATTACTGGTACAAAATAAACTGTCGGAATTTCTTAAAGGAATTTCATGAAAAATAAACTAATTAACTGTACAGAACAAACTAAATTGGCAAAAGACTGAATTTTCTGCCAATCTAATCCATTCGCAAAGATAAATAAACTTCGTGATTCGCAAAATAACTATATTTTTATCTCAATAGAAAATATAATAGTGTTTTTACATTGAAAGAGAAAAAATTGAACTTGTGTAAGATAAAGCAAGATTCCATCCTTTGTATCGGAAACATCTGGCCAGAGTCCATTTATAATACTAATATAAAATCCATATTCCAGTTGGCAATGGAATGGAAATCTGTGAGTGACAGTACAATTTTCCTTTTCTAAAGCTTGAGGCAACAAATAAATCTCTAAGGTATATTTCATCATTTTCCATTCAATTTTACATATCGATATTATTTAAATGTATTCATCGAATAAGGTTATAATGTCACGAACGTTTTGTTATTTGACTAAAAGAAAAAAAATATATCCATGTATGCATGCAGAATGGTTATAACTTTACATAAATACATGTCAATTATTTATCATATTTTTTGTGTATTTTTTTTCTCATAATATATATAAAAACGCTGTAAGTTATTTCACAATGGTTTATTATTTTCAAACAATTATAGTAACATTACATTCCTAATAACAAAGACAAATAAATAAAGGATGATTACTATTATTGGTCTAAACAGCTTTTTATTTCATGATTAGTGATTTGCTATAGAAAAATAATAGTACTTCAGTAACACTTTCAAAAATCAAAAACCAAAACGAAGGACCTTTGCAGTAAAACATACAAAAAATATTTAGAGGCCATATCTTTGCTCCGAATCGTCTCTTCTTTTCATCGCTTCTTTTCGTTGAAGTATGTTATACAGATAAATTTAAAGGGTATCGAGAAAAAGACTTGGGCAAGTTTCATTGAAGTCGGTACATTTGTTTAGGCCCTATAGCAACATAGATTTTTCTTAAGCCACCTTGAATGGAAAAAGCAAAGAGTAATCTCGGTGTAGGAGGGTCATTCTCGGTTGAACTCTGACTTTAAATCCAATTTGAAAAAAAATCGGTCAAGTAGTTTCGGAGAAAATGCGCGGACGGCGGACGAACAAAAACTTTTTATTCGTTTTACGAATTCTACGCATCCTGAAACGAAAACTGTTTTAAAGCTGGGTGTTTCAGGGTTAAATGGTCAAACTGAAAATATTAACTAATGACCTCAACATCAGAAAAAAAATTCCTCTGAAGGTATGTCTACAAACCTATTGTTTAGGAAATATTCACTCCTAAAGATTTTCATTTATATAAATTATTTACCCTATATTAAGTAAACGAAATTTATTTATTAGTTCCAACTTACTTATACTAATTAATTACACTACTTAATTTAACGTAAACATTAAATTCATATTAAATGTTGTCCAAAGTGATTTCCTTGAACATGAAGACAGGCTCGGCATCTTTCTTCAACAGCAGCAGTGGAAGAACGGCACTGGATATGTGTTATAGTTTCACAAGATTCAATTATCATTCCTCGTAAGGAATTAAGGTCATTGACTCGGACTGATTAATAAATTACTTCGAACTAATAAATAAGTTTTATTTATTTCATATAATGTAAATAATTCATAACAACAAAATTCTTTTGGTGTAAATATCTCCTATACAAAGCGTTCCACTTAACCCTGGAACAGGTATATATATAATCTTCAATATAACACAAGAGGAAAAAATAAGGTTAAAAAATATTTTTATAATGTATTTACATTAAAAGATATATATGAGTTTATGCAAAACTGTATTTTTTATTCTTTTGTATAAGAATATCCATGATCATTTATTTATATTTTAGATTTATAAACATTTCCAATTGATAAATTACACATTCTGCGGTACTTATGACCAAAAATATTAAGGCTATATCTCACTCGTACCATTTATAGACAGTTTTAAAGGTGATGAAAAAATATATAATTTAATTAGTATAATTGATTAATTAGAAAATGTTAAAACCAAAGAAAAAAGGAGGAATCAGAAAAAGTGTAAATCATCTGAAAACAAAACAAACAAAGCTTTATTTTACTCAAACTTCGGAATTTAATTTCTTAATTTTTTTTTTATCATCACGTTCGTTACTTTATTTCACCAATTAGCAGCATTCTTCGACAGACG